CAGGGTGAGACGAAGTGAGAGAGAAAGGAGAGAGAGACTGTTAGTTCTTCCCTGTGTCTCTGTGTCAGGAGGCGTGTGGGTATGGGCATGCATGTGGAAACCAGGAGGTAATCTCAGTTGACATTGCTCAGGTGTTGTCTACCTCTTTTGTTTTGAGTTGAGGCAGGGCCTCTCTAGCCTGGGGCTGCCAAGTAGGCATGGCTGACTAGGACGTGAGCCCCAAGGCTCACTGTCTCTGCTTCCCCAGTGCTGGGATCACAAGTATGTGTCATGATTTCCAACTTGTAGTTAATGTGGCTTCTGGGGATTGAACTCAGGCCCTCATGCTTTCGAGGCCAGCAGCTTACATGAATGAGTAGGGCCCCAGCCTTCTCCCTCTTCTTAGAAAGCACCCATAATTCCATCACGGGGTTTCCGCACTGATGGCTTTTATATAATCCTCATTACCTCCTAAAGGTTCCACTTCAGACACATAGAGTAACTTTCTACCCTCCTAATACTGCAAAGTGGGGGTGAAATTCCAACTCATGAGAACTTGGGGTGACGCACACACTTTAAAGCAATGTGTAAACTGTAGCAGTTCTCTTATAAACTTTGTTTACTCTCTTACTGGTCAATACATCTTCCAAATACTTCCACAGCAGTGTGTGTTGTGTAAATTTTAAAATAGTAATATTATACAGAAACAGCATAATTTATTGAATCAAGCTGTGATGATAGACATTTACATTTTGTTATATTTACTACTACAAACAATGTTTTCATGAATACTGGTACTAAAATGTAATTTCTGGGCTGGGGCCATAGCACAATGGTGAAATGCTTGCCTAGCATGCATAACAGTCTGGGTTTGAACCTCAGCCATGCAGAGGAAAAAATATTGCTCATTTTTACTGTGATACTGTGTCAAACATAATTATATTTTTAATATACATTCGTCTCTCAGTGTCTGTGATGGATTGGTTCCATGACACCAAAATCCACAGCTGTTAGAGGCTCTTGCATAAAATGCTATATTTGCATAGAACTTATATACATTCTCCTGTGTACTTTAAGTCACCTCTGGATTATTTATACCTGGTACAGTGTGGGTGCCCTGTAACTAGTTCTTACTCTGTGTTGTTTAGCAAATAATGGCCCCAAAATGTCTGCACATATTCAGTAAGGATGAATATATCAAATGCACCATTTCTGAAATTTGGGGGTGCAGAACGGATGCGGAACCCCACCTGTAGATACAGAGAGCTGCTCTGTGTTGTTCCTCTCCCCCACTTTGTACCCACTTGTTCTCCCACTAGCCACCCCTGAATAAACCCCATGCATCAATATACATGTTTTTCTGAGACCCACCCAGCGGAATATAAACCCTACCTCAGCCTTTGGCCAAGCCAGTGGACAAAATGCCAGTATCCTGGAGGAAATTTGATTTTCATTTGCAAGAATGTATTTTATAGATGGGAAGGAACGCTAAATCACAGCTCTCAGCTGCCCCAGTCGGGATGGCAGCTCTGAGTTAGTCAAAGGTGGTTCTCCCAGGACACCAGCCTTCTGCTAGAAAGCTACCACTGTTAAGTGGTCAGGTGGCCGTCTCAGGGCCAAAGCACCCAGAAATGGTGCAAAGCACAGCTTCCCCAGCACAAGCCACTGACTGCTTCGAGAGTCTGGAGATCTCCAGTAAGAGCAGAAGGCCCAGAATTAATACGGCACAAAAGCAGATCCAGGATAGGAATTTAAGATGTTTGACGGTAGACCAGGAGGGCATTCGCTTGAGGGACAGCCAGAATAAATGGAAACTTCATTATCCGTGGATCACACACTTGGAACGCAGGTCCCAGGCAACTCTGATGTTAGTAATTTGGCCAGCAGGCTCATTAGGCTCTTAAGAAAAGTGGGCCTAGTTAATGAATTAATGCAAGATGACATTTTACACACAGAGCAAAAACGAGCGCAGGCAGCTCTGAGTTATGTGGCATCATAATTCCTTGAGTGGATGTGATCGCTGCTCCTCGACTGCCAAAGTGGCAGGTCTGGAGGGAGGCGGCGTTCTGAGACAACAGTGAGATCCTTAGGATACAAAAGCCCTCACTGTCTGCTCGTTCTTGGATCTGTAATGCTGCCAGTGTTCATACGGACATCAGAGTTTCGGAATCGCTGAACACATTGACTTTCTGTGTGAAAATCTACCCAGCTCCGCTCCCCACCACCCCACCAAGGTTCTCCACCACTTGTGCAGAGAGGGCTGGTGAGGATATCAAGAATGCACATGCTAAGAAGTGGCATTAACTAGTTAGAGCCGATAGGTCCTGGAGATGGACAGCACAGATGGTAGCACAACAGCCTGAATTCACTTAATGCTACTCAACTGTACACTTAAAACGCTGTTTGTGGTATGCACATTTCATTATGGCGATTTTAAAGTAATGTTGCTTTTTAAAAGAATCAGCATTGCTAAGTGCAAACCCTTGTCAGGCTGTGCTCAACACTCTGCATATATATGCATTGTGTCTTCTGATGACCGACCAGGGAGATGCATGCAGTTAACTTTCTCAGCCCTGCTATTATTTTATGAAAGTTAAATCACTTGCCCGGGCTCAGGCACCTGGAAGTGATGGTTCCAGGATCCACCCCAGAGCTCTATAACCTCTCAGGTCTGTGCAGGAAATAACCACAGAAGGTATTTTAATCCTGAATTCTGAAACACACACACACACACACACACACACACACACACACACACACACACACACTGTTTTAATTACCTAAGCTAAGAACTGAGTGGCAGTTATTTGTCTCCAGGAAAGTCCAAAGCCTCTTTCCTCCAGTAACTTACAGATGTGCACTTCCACCTTTAAACGGCTTGTATTTACCTCCTTCTGTACAGTTCAGATGTGCAGAGCCTGTTAGAATGACAGCCGGGAACTGGGAGGATCTCCTCGCTTTTAGTCTAAGTTGGGTATGGCTAGAGAGAAAAGTTAACAACAGAGAGAAGGGACCCTAACGGGGTCTCATTGCAATGATATTTTTTTTTTTTTTAAATCAGGAGGGCAGAGATGATGCATTCTACAGCATGCAGGCTTTAGAAGGAGGCAACCTGGCTGCCAGGCTCCTTCTGTGACCAGGGACAGGTTAACCCACCTCCATGAGTTAAAATAGAAATTATAATAGCACCTACTGTTTACCGTAGAGTGTGACTAAACAGATGGTTGTTGTGGAGTTCTGTGCATTTATTGAATGCCTGCTGTCTGCCGCGTTTCCTCCTTCACTTGGGGACCGTAGTGACAAACAAAGCGAACAGCCCAGGGTGAAGGAGAGGGTGAATAACCGAGTTCCACCTCTAGCTGCTACTGCAGGTGACAAATGCCAGCCTTGCCGGACCCACAGAAACCTCCTCCTGAGTCACAGATGGAGAAGCATGGGGCTGTGGTCCCAAATTCACCCTCTGGGACTGAAACTAGAATATTCTTCCCACAGGTACAGCAGTGGGTTGCTGTAGTTCTTTGGCACAAACAAGATGTCCCCAGGTTTCTGTTAGGGGCTGTTCTGGTTTCCTGTGCCTGACTGGACCTCCTGAGGTTGTCATCTGTGTCCTGCTGGCTGGGAAGCAGGTCACCTGAAGCACTGAAGTGTGGCTCATTAGCATATGTGGGAGGAAGGCATTGTGAGTCAACAGAAATGGGGTGTGACCCAGACCATCACCCTGAGACCTGAGGAAATGCCTGAAAATTGTCTACCAAGTCTTCTTGGGTGCTCATAGAGCAGGGTCAGGCACTAGCTTAGGTCACACGGGCTCCTCCCTCAACCTCAATAATCTTAGTCAGGGGACCCAGCCTCACCAGGACACACTGTGCTCATCTTAAAAGCAGTGCCTTGGCTTAGTTGAGAGAGTGCTTGCCTAGCATGTGTGAAGTCCTGGATCCCATCCCCATGCTGCATAAGTGGGAAATGGTGACCCATGTCTGTAATCCTAGTGTCAGGGAGCAGAGGCAGGAGAATCAGAAATCCAAAGTCATCCTTGGCCACAGTGAGTCACAGGCCAGCCTGGAATATATGAAACGCTGAATTAAAAAAAAAAACAGAATTAAAGCAAAGCTAAACCCTTCGATACCATATACTGTGTGTCAAACACGCGTGTGAACGTAGCCCAAAGTGCCAGCGGCCGTTCTAGACCCTTGATATTGCCGTCTATGCCAGACTTCAGAAGCCCGGAGAATGTCTAGACTGTTTCGTTCCCAGAACTTCCCAAAGGGCACAGACACAGAAAGTAGGTTGACAGACAGACGCCAGAGTCTGTCCCTGTATCTGTGAAGGTCAACCCAGGGCCTGGCACAGAACAGAGCTCTGCAGACATTTGGAGCCCAGATGTACATACCTACCTTCCTCACATTAGTGTTTTCATTCATTTTCAATGAAGAACTGATTTCTGGAACCCCAAGAACTCTCACTCTTGACCCCTGGGAATTACATTTCCCATCTCTGAGTTTTTAGCTAACTTCATTGAGACCTTATTCATAGAACATAAAATTCATTCATGTTAACTGTGTAATTCAGTAATTTTTTAGTTAACTTTCCAACATGTGCCATCACCGCCATAGTCTAGTTTGAGCACATTGTCAGTGACCCAGCAGGACCCCTCATGTCCACTTGAGGTTAATCCAGACACTGCTGTGCTTGCTGTCTCTGTGAACTGGCCTTTCAGGTGCATTGTATACAGTCTACAGTCTGGGATATTGGGGTGTGGCTTACTTCTCTGCATATTCCTGAAATTCACACTCATGGCGTGTATCAGTATTTACATTTGGGGCTGTGTAAAATACATTGGGATATACCCCAGTCTGACTAACCATTCCACAGCTGATAAACATTTAGGGGTCTCCCTTTCTGGTGGCTGTAAATAGCCCTGCTCTGCTAACTGGCAAGACAGTTCTAGGTTGATTCTCCAAGGCTTAGAAAAGCCCACTTGTAATGTTCTCTCTTCCTCTCTTTTCTCCTGGCTTTCCCAGAACCAGGCAGTGGGCAGGTGTTCGTGACCTCAGACAACCAGCTCGTGTACTACCCCAGTATCACATATGCCATCATCGGCAGCTCCGTCATCTTCGTCCTGGTGGTGGCCCTGTTGGCACTGGTCCTGCACCATCAGCGAAAACGGAACAACCTCATGACCCTGCCTGTGCACCGGCTGCAGCATCCTGTTCTGCTCTCTCGCCTGGTGGTCCTGGACCACCCTCACCACTGTAACGTCACCTACAACGTCAATAATGGTGTTCAGTATGTGGCTAGCCAGGCCGAACAAAACGCCTCAGAAGTAGGCTCTCCACCCTCCTACTCCGAGGCCCTGCTGGACCAAAGGTGAGAGATTGCAGAGGAAGGCATCTAACATGGGAAAGACACGTGTGTACACACAGGGCTACCTAAGTCTAGCTGAGAATTTGGGCTTGGTAACTATAGGCAGTAACAGTGATTGACGATTACCTGCTCCAAGAATGTCCCATGTCATCTCTGGACACTTCTATGAGGAAAGTAACTGAGGCCCTGCAGTTTTAAGTCACTTATCTGGGGACCTACAGGAAGGATTCCCTGCTCCTCCTTGGTTAAGCCACAATGTCACAGTTTTAGGCCATTGACCATTTCTGGGCCATATGTACTACTACAGAAAAGTATCATGGGAGATTTGGTTAATTTGTTGACTGAACGAGAGAATAAATAACTCCCTTGCCTTGCTTGGCTTTATTTAGGAGGTAAAAGGAATGGTGTAGAGCACCCCGAACTTTATTGATCAATGGATTGCTCACACAGATGGCATTGTTCATGAACCCCCAGTGTAGAAGGCCCAGACTGGGCTCCTGTAGTTAGAGTGGAAGGCCTAAATCATGCCTGTTTGGC